CAGGCACCTACAGTGTTTATATCCATATACATGTACAACATTGAATCTCCACATTCCACATCGTTCAAAAAATTATAATTTGCATCTTTGATATTTATAAGTTATATATATAAGTTCAAAATATATAAATTCCTAATTTAAATATAGGATGCCCGCATTGGACTACAGTAAAACAAATCTTCTAACACATATTCGAACTGTGACTAAGTATTGCAAAAAAATTGTAAAATTGTAGCAGTTGCTGAAAATAAAGCAAGTAAATAACAACAAATCAACGGCAATGTAAATACTATGTCAAATCAAGGTGAACATGTACTGCGTGCGTGACTTGTGTATGAGACCCAATCGCCTAGTTTTACGTTACGGGGCGTTTACCCCTTGGCCACCGTGTATTTACTTTGATTTGTCATAGTATTTATCCTGCCGTGTATCCATTAAATTTGTACTTTCATAAATGTTGCCAGTTTATCCATTTGTTTCAATTATTCAAACACGTATGCGCAATAGACCAAGACTTAGTCGCTCAACCAGCCTTCATCACACACAGGATACTAGATAAAAACGTACATTTTGTTTCATGCTAAATGTATTCAATCTGAGTACAACTCCGTTAATAGTAATTCTTAAATAAATACATCACAAAGCCATGGTATCTGCGGTGTTTATTTAAACGATTTATTTAAATTACAACGCTGGGTTTCCAAATTGGGGTATTATATAAGGTCGATATACGGACACTCAATCGTAATATAACACAAGAAATATTATTGTATATATACCTTGCACGATTCTATCACTGTTGGAATCGTATACTTGGGTTAGGAAAGACTATAAGCTTTGAATAAGGAGGTTATATTGATTCGAAAAGAAACATCTTGCGTGTAAGCATTCAAAGCTTCAGTGTACAGAAAACACATGACAATCCATCAATTTTTATAAATTAATTTGCAAGTATCTTTAATCTACCGATGGTGGGAAATGTCAAAAACAGACAAATACAGTAATATCATCAAGATTTTAAATAACAATCGCAAGGAGTTAAATTAAAGATACAACAGAAAGCACTCTGCCTAGATTCATATTTGACTCATAATCAAATATAAAACAAAACATATTGATAACGGTGATAGACACTTCATCTAGTCCAGCTTATGAATTATACATGTCACTACAATAAGACATTGTAAAGCGAAAGCAACGAGACTTGTTTGTTTCCACAAAATACTGTTTCATTCTCTCCTGTCAGAGATCAGAGAAACATTGGACGCGATGACGAGAAAAAATGGAACACGTTTTAAAGGCGCTCTCTCTTTCAACAAATCTCGGCAGCTTTTTGGGTCTAAGGTATATTTTCAGACAGCAAAAATGCAATACGGTTAAATTGTACAATGTATAAATCAATAAATGGCCATGCTCCTCAATATTGTCCATACCACTTTAAAACCGACAACCATATTCATAATACGAGATTGTCAACGGAGTTCCAGTCAGTCAAAATTAAAACCAAATACATGGAACACAGATTTAGTTACACCGGGCTTCATCTGTGGAGTTATATTCAATCCATAATTAGGATTTCCTTCTTTGTTTCCTCGTTTAAATTTTAAAAGAATCTCTGTAATTTAATTCAGCTTTAGATTTTTTTATAATTGTTGTGTTCCAGTAATTGTAATTTCTGATATTTTTGTTATTGAGTTTTTGGTATCAGCCTTTTGTAAATAAAGGATTTTAAATGAAATAACAAAACAGATCAGAACATTGTAGAAGATAGTTGTTTGCGTGTTTTCGTGTTCTCATATATGTATTGTTTGGAAAATTTAACATTTGTCAACCAGATAAATGACGATGTACTAATCAGAACAATTGGAACATAATGAACACTAAATAATACGATATCAAAAAGGTAGGCACATCCTACTAGCAGCAGTCTATGGATAATCAATTAATCAATTAACATACTTCACAATATCTTCGAAGATACGAATCGAGGGAATTCTGAAAATAGATTTTAATTACACTTCTTGGTGTACTGTCTGTGGAACGGCAGTGTCAGCTGTATCTGTGGCATTGTTGTGAAAGTAGACGTATTATCGAATCGATTTACGATCAGTCAAGGTCTGTGTTAAACCTTCTCACTCGGCCGGCTCATGTTAAAAAGAATTCTACTAATGCGTTAATTAGTGATGGGGATTGCACTTGTATATGAATGATTACATGGCTATCGAAACTTGACGCATGCGATCACAAATTCTCTGTTGCTGCGTTGCTTGGCATCAGTAAGCCGGTGTTTGCGCTAAATTATATTGTCAGTCAAGTGTCAAACGAATCAACGTTAATACATTTCCTCAAGTAATACCGAATTGGAAAGCTTAATCAAGGCGCTTAAGCTCGGTGATATTTGCCATAATGCCTTGGGTATCAAAGGTATTATTGCCGCCGTGCCTGGATAGCATTAACTATTACCATACGCAATGACACAACGACAGTATGATTAACTTATGTAGCAAATCCAATGCAAACACGTGCACTTATCGCCTCCATATTGAATATTTA